ATATATATATATATACTGTAGATGGTGGTGGCCTTCTTAGATTTTTGACATGGAAACACAATTGTTGGACATTTCTTACGCCTACAGCCAAACACCAAAACGGAAGTCGGCATGTTGCCTATTTCTGAAGTTATCCAGCTCACAAGACAGATGAATAGAGGGATGGAGGGTATTTCCAATTCCCCCTCTTTGCTCTATGATGGAGAACAATAAAGGCTTATTCTAGGAAGGAATGCATATTTCCTGTTGCTTTTGTGTTGACGTTTAACTAAAATTATCTTAATGAGAATGGTTGCAGTTATAGCCTTTTTAGCCAAACCTTAAAAAATAATGTTTTGCACAATCTTAAATAACATTGGAAGATATCACTGGATGTTTTAGCACACAGAGGATGTGTGTTCTATGACTCTCAGCTATTTCCACATCAAACTTTACCTCAATATCTGTAAATGAGACTAAGTTATAGCTTTTCATGTATTTGCTAAGGCTGATTTGCTGTGGTGGCCATAAGAAATCAGGGTGACCAATACTGTGTGTGAAATAATAATATATAATAATAATACGATCATATAATAATATAGTTAATACTTTGAGTTTCAATGAAACCTGTCCACAGAATTTGCCATTAGACAAACAAACTGTCAATGTTGAAGTTTTATGCAAAGATCTTGATCATTGTGTAGCACTCTGAGTATTTTTGGGAAAGAATTTCAGCTACTAGCATACCAAATGTTAGGTTTCAGATTTGAAGTAAAGTGTATGTAAAAAAGCAAAAAAGTCCAGCCCTGAAAAATCTACACTTGATGGTCTCCATACAAAATATTAGGTGTGAATACTTCAGTGCTGTTAAGTTGATCACATCACATCTCACCAATAAGACCGGTGGTGTACCCTTGGTGCTGCAGCCTCTTTGCAAAGGTGGTCTCAGTGGATGGAAGCCCTCCTGAACCTCCAAGATACATCAACACCGGAACACGCCCCATGCCCGCCATGCCTAAACAGTGCAGACACACACACATAATGCTCAATGGGATGAACGAAATATAGCCAAGATAATAGGGATAGTGTAAGGACATTTGTTACCTGAGCGACGTGCATAACGGCCTGTCATGAAAGCGGCCCGGCTCGGAGAGCAGACAGGAGCAGCAGCAATGTGCTGGGTCAGCTTCACCCCCTCCAAGGCCAGTCTGTCTATGTTAGGAGTCCTGCAGGAGCAGCAGGAGTACAGAACAGGTTTACACACGGTTAGAACATTTCAATGGTTCTTAAATAACGACAAATTATCTTGGATATTAACTGCAAGTAAACACACAACCATGACCTGCCTCATGGTATCATTGCCATAGCAACCTAAATCCCCAATCCCCATGTCATCCACCATCATGAGAACAAAGTTGGGCTTCTTGTCCATCACCTCCCCTGTGACATCACTTCCTGCTAACAGGAGCAGAGGGAGAAGAAGCACCAGCATGGCCGACCTGAGCAGAAGAGGGTCAGAGATGTATTTTACTTTATTATTTTAGTTTAGCTAGAAAAACGCTTTTGAAAATCTGAAGACTGGGGGGGGGGGGGGGGGGGGGTGTCAGGTTTTAAACTGTAAACTTTATCATTTAAAAATAGGAGTTTAACCTTTTGTATTATTACACCCAAACATTGTTTTGAACTTTAAAAGTTTGACACATGTTTTTTTTTATGTTTTGCTTCAAATAAAAAACTCCTGTTTGTTAATGCTGACAAAGTGTGGCTCTATACATCACAGCAGCTCATTAATGTTTGCAAAGATTCCTGTTCTGTAAAGTGACGTTTAGCACTCGACACACACACAAAGCAAAACTTTAGTTCATTTGAATCCCTGAGGTGTGCACGCTTCCAGCCAATTATGGGAAAAGTTTGCACCGTTCACCGAGAAAATAGACCTCGACATAAAAGACATATGCAGCTGCATGTCTTAAAATGACCAAACTCTGATTAGTATCCAGTTTTAGCAGAAGACAGTGAATTTACAGCTGTTTTAGTAAAAAATCTAACACTGCAACTCACCTCATTCTGTCTCTAGTTCCTGCTTGGTTTAAGGTGAGACTGACCTTTACTCTGTACACAAAAAGAACGGACTAAATCTTTGTTTAAACATTTGTCAATAAGTGCTTGGAGTCAACTCTGTCTGTTAGTAAAATATCTAATCAACCACTGCATGGATTTTGAGAAAAGTTTCAGGAAGTAATAGATGTTCCTCGGTGACTGATTAACTTTTGAAGCCAACCTCATGCAAAGTGAGTACCACAGTCAGCTGAAAGAAGAAAACACTAAATAACAACAATTCTGTAAATTTTATAGATATTGTGCTGAAATTAGTTGTGGCAGTAGCTGAAAGTTTCCCATTACACAAACTTTAAGTGCCACTCAGTGCACGATCTTTGCTTAAAACTTTAGCATCAAATATTGGAGTCAACTCTTCCTGTTTGTTTGCAAAATATCTCAAGAACCATTGGATTGATTTTATTTAAACTTTCAGGGGGGAAAAAATGGGATTAATATTTACAACAATATAACATTTGGAACCAATTTGATTCAAGCTGACCGCTGCAGCTCATCTGCCAACACAGAAGTTACTATAACTCAGTGAGTCGTCTGGCATTGAGATCAAATTTGACGTGGTGGTAGCTGAGAATCATTCACAACACATACTTGGAGCATGACATCTAGAAACATTTCCTGAGATTTTGCATAAAGGTAATTTAATTTTTTTGAGCAAAATGGCTACAACTGCTATAACTCAGTCATAGAAGGATTTTGGTCTGAAACTCTCACAGGTGTGGGACATGCATTCCTTTAAGCTGTGCTAGATCTTTAATGTTTTATGTTTAAACAGTAAGAAATGCTGATGTAACTATTAAATGTGACTTTTTTGCATATCGTGACTAGTTTATGTGATCCATACCCATTAATTAATGAAAATTAATCAAATCCATTAGTCACTGCCAAGTCTCTACTGGAGTATTCGCAGCCTGGTACAAAATAAAAGGTTTTGTGTGGGTGTGATTGCCGGTGGGTTCAAAATAAATAGGTGCACAGAACCACATGCAGGTTCCCACACTTCATTTCTAAGGCTCTAATCAGGCGTATCTTGATTGGCCTGTCATCATAAATCATTATAACGCTTGAACCTGTCATGTTGTGAGAGCTTCTATCAAGAAATACCTGACATACCGAAATTTAATCAGACTTTTCATACTTATTGTTTATACCATCTGAGATTAATTAAAGTTTTATCAGCAAACAGGCGCTTTGAAATCAAAAAACAGAAAAAATGCATACAAGACTATGCCCTTCATCAAGATTTTTTTTTTTTTTATCAATAGTGAACGCTGTTATTGTGTTATGACTCCACTGTATGGTCTAAGCCATAAAGTGTCTGTTTGAAGATAGTTTTTAAGGTCATTGTTCCTAGATTGCACTTGGCAGAAGGACTTTACTGACAGATTCACAGGAATTCTGTAATGTTTAACAGAAAGAATGTTTACTGTCACGTTTTAGGACGTTCTTCTGCTGAGGTTTAAAACAAGAATGCTGCTCGAACAGATCCTAATCTATAAATCTGCATAGCAACTGATGTAAACTTTTTAAAGCTTTTCGGTTAATACCATAACAACTGGAGTTTATTATAAATTTGACTTCATTCGAGGCATCCAAAGTGGAAGAAAAACTCATAATTGGTATATTTTTTTACGTAGAGCATTCTGTATTCAGGAAGTCAAACTTAACTCAATACTTTGACTCAAAATAGTTTCATGAACAGGTTTGGCTGTTGGTTCTTTTATCAGTTTTACTGGTCTGAGATGGATATTTGATTGGTATTTCCATTTAAAAAGCTGTTTGCATGAATCCACAAGAAGAATTCAGATAAGACCACCATTAAATCATGGATCATGATTGATAATGATAATCATCATCAATGTGTTTAAGACAGTGAGTGCAATGCAAAAAACATAAATACAAGTAAAAACACTTGATATTTTTTTCTGTTTCTTAGATTTTCTTGCATACCACTCGTTAGCTTGACTAAGATGAATGTTCCTGAACGAAGTGTGATGAACCTATGCACAAGAGATAAAAGTGTAGAAATAAATGAGTGACTCACCCTCTTCCAAAGATCCAAATTTCCACCTGTTGTGCAACAAAAAGAGACATCAAGCAACTGACGCAAGAAACTCAAGGATATGTAAATATGTCAAGAACAAAGTGAAGCGGTTGAGTAAAAGCAGACTCTTAAAACAAACCAGCTAGGCAAGGACAAAAACTAAAAAGGTAACCTTAAATGACTTGTAAAGATCCACATCAGAGACGGGTGCACAGTTGGTACTGCAGACCGCAGTACTTCATGGAAGAGCAAACAGAAATAAAAACAGTTTTTACTGAAGAAAATGAGAAAAGACTGTTGGAAATACTGCTGGAAATATGTTTATGATGCACTAAAGAATGTGCCTTGGTCACAGGAGACACAAATACATCATGTTTGATACAAAACTCAGAATATCAGGTTTCTCTTGAATTTTGTACTAAAAGTTGATGATGAGGAAATCTTGTGAGGATGCTTCCTAGGGAGTGGAAAATTGTTCAAGACTGGTTTTTATAAACATAAAAAAAAAATCTATACTTACATAAAACATGCTTTAGTGTTCCAGAAAACTGAGCCCAGGAAGAAAGTTTGTTGTCAACAAAAGCAAAGATTCACAAAAAAATGAAGCTTAGAGGCCCAGCAACCCATTCTTTGATGAGGTTTATAAGTTCCAGACGACAGGCGATCATTGCCATCAGAGGATTAGGAGCCTCTGAAAATAGAAGATTTTACTGTATATCAAATATATTCCACTTTTTCAAAGTTCTATATAATATTCTTCAAACCTTTAAATGAAAGCTAAAAATGCATATCAACTGTATGTTAAGTCAAACCACACAGCAATAACTTTATCACTGGGTCACATGACAGGAACGCTATTAACATGATACATTTTTACATAAAAACAATACAGTAGTCCCTCGTTTATCACGGGGGATTCGTACCCTGAAGTCCTACAATAAGTGAAAAACCGCAAAGAAGGAATAGTAGTACAAGTAGTAAGCAGTAATTTACTTTAATATTGCTATTATATATATATATATATATATATTTATATCTTGATATATATATATATATATATATGTATGTGTGTGTGTGTGTGTGT